TAGTGTAATGACCTGTACCTCGAGTGCCTGAATAAGGCTAGTTAGATAGCAAAGCCATGCTGTGTCTCGGTAATGATGCACGACCATTGTAGGCTCAACGTCCTGCAGCGTAAGCAGGCTGTTAAACACGGCTCATGAGCGCAAGCGATGCAGCTAGTGAGTCGCAGCCTAATCGCCAACTTCCCAAGTCCGTCAGACCAAACTCTCAAATTAAGTCTGAACCTTTTAGGACTTCACTGACAGGCTTGATCCCACACTTCGGAAGAAAGCCTTGCATCTTTGCGAAACGGAATGAGTTTCTTGGCACGTGTGCCTTTGGAACATGACCTTGCCTGCCGAGCAGACCGAAAGTCCAAGAGTACCTTCGGGCCATGCTGTCAGCTACCCAAGACCCGCTTTGGGTGAGGCACGAAAACTCAGCATCGTTCTGAAACTGTTTGCGCACCATACTAGAGCCTCCAAGCAACAGCACAAACATCAAAGGTCCTAAAGCTCACTGGTGCAAGAAGCCTAAGCGCCCGAAGGTCCAGAACAGCCACCGGGGTCTTGGCCTCGGCAGACAGTTGGTGGATTCGAGCATTCAGGCAGGATGAAGCGCGTCAGGGAAGAGTAACAAGCAGTGTATCAAACGGAAACGTCTCTACTTGAGGTTGGTATTCGGGAATGTCGGTCGCGGTTTGGAAGTTCTGTGCGTTTACGCGAAGAGGTTGGTTTGGCTTTCGACGTCAGATTTCAATCTCAGGCCAGGGCTGACAGTCGATCCGCGGAGTGTGAGGCTTAGGTTTCGGGGTTGGGCGATACGAGGAAAATAAGGCTTAGAGTTGAGTTTAGATATTGCTGATGGAGAAAATCTTGTACGACTTTTGAGCACCCTGCACGCCCTGCTTAATGTTGATGTCTCGTGCCGAGAAGGGCCCCGGGTTCCACTTGCAAACATTTTGCAGGAGTCATGTGGCGTATCGGCCTCAATATTAGCAAGAGGGTGAGTCAGCGTCAGGGTGGCGATTGATTCCTGATGGGCAGCACCCTCAACCCCAAGCCCGAGGCATAAGTAGAAAGCATTCGTGTCAGAACATTAATTAGCATCGAAAGCAGCAGTGCCAGAAAGAACGCCCAATACTCGTAGCAACTACAGAGGCACAACTGATTACTGGTACCCCCTAAACCTGCAGACATACCCCGCAGCCCTCAGCTCTGCACCGACCTGAGCCGCTAAATCCTCACGGAGGCATCGCTGGATCGCGGCTGGAAGTTCTCCCAAATCCGCCTCACTGTTGCCAGTCGGCACATCAGGTTTAGCTTGAGCCTTGCACTGAATGCTCCAGGTCCGGGGCGTGGCTTCTATCATTTAGGCAGAGGCTTGTCTGTGGGGGCTGTAGACGGCGAAGGCCGATTGGTCTCAGCTTGGCTTGATGCGAAGGCTTGAGCCTAAGGCTGCAGGTTATCTTACGCTGATCATTTGAAGCAGCTCCAATACAACAACTCGAGGTGAACGCAAGGGCTGTGCTCGCTCTTTCGTTTACTCAGATCTGCAGAACCTCCTAATGTTGATTGACTCGCGGCTACCAGCTCTACGATCGATGCCCCAAATCCTGCATCGCTTTAACGTCCCCACAGTTCACCTGCCACCCCTAATTTTAATAATGCGCTGACGGAGGGGCCAAAACAAAGGGCCTGCGCGAATACTCAAAATCCTGCATGACCGCATGGGGATGCAACATCGAAATTGAGGTGTTGAGAGGTGTTGAGAAGAAGTGGATGGCGCGACATAACAGATGTGCGATGTTGTAGGTCATGCAGGATTTTGGGCATCAACAGTAGGTCTGCCTTCGGCATCCTTTCATCGAAAACACCTGGTGGATTACTCACCAGACTCATAAGTAGCGGCTTACCCAACCAAAGCCTGCAAAAAGAGCAAGAAGACTGCTCACAAATACAGGTACAACGATGGTAGTAGAGGTCATGTTGCCAATGATGCTTGTCACACTTATGCTGTCGCAGCTACTGCTGTTTGGGTTTGGGGTGGTGGTTGTGGTGGTGAGAGGGCTCGAGTGGCAACAGCCCCAATCGTGATGACACTGCTGCTGCTGATGACGATGATGGCGACGAGGCATACCAGGATGATGAGGACGAGAAACCCAAAATTGAGACGGAAATGGCCATGACGATGGAATCAGTGATGGTCTTGATGAAGGCGACGGTTGTGGCCTGGTTGGGGCTTGATATCGATTGCCATGGAGGTGAGGAGTTTGAAGCAGAAAGTATATGTGACTACCACGACGACAACAAGGATGATGGCGGTGATGTCAACAAGCCCGTATGATGGTGATCCTAGCCATGACACCGGTAATAACAGCTCTGATGATAATGATGTTGATGATGCTGTTGATGGTGATGATGACGATGATGACGATGATGAAGGTGATGATCCGATTGTTGTAAAGGCCTTATAGTGATAGAGACTGATGGACGTTGTGCGGTCGTTGGTGATCAGTGATATGTGTGCGTTCCTCACTATCATATCAACTGCATGTGTTCGATGTATTGCTTTTTTATCGTCGGTTCAATCATCTTACCGGGTTTCTAGTTGCCTGGGGCATGGGCTAGTCGGCCAGTCGGCCAGGCTCAGGCGGACGAATGGACCATTTCGGAGCAGGGCCCTGAAGTGTTGGAGCTACAGATCTCGGATAAGTGTGTTGAACCAAGTGGACTTCAAGAACTGGCTCTTCTTAGTTAATCAGTCATGTAACATGTGTGTGGCAACGTCTCATAATGTCTCTCAGGTTAACATGCGGAACACGCCTGCGATCAAGCGCCTCTGGCTTTAGCAACGCAAGTACTTGTCAAGACTTTTCGCTTGAAAGGGAACTGTGGTAGAGCGCACTCCAGCATTCTACAGTGCATCAGGTTTTTGTCATGCTTAATTCGGTGAAGCGAAGGAGGCATCCATGTTGAAGGTCTGCTTTGAACTCATGAAGTTCAGATGTAGGTCCATTGATCTGCGCAGCGCAAAGTACCATGTCCTGTTTTGTTGTTTCGTCCTCTCACTTGCTGCTCCAAGTCATAACGGTTGAAAGCAGCCCGGGGGGCAACAGTCATGGTGGCATTCATCAGCTTCCTATCCTTCTTCTCTTAGTAAGGATCTTGGAGCCCTTCACCGAAAACGCGCATTACGCTCGATAGCCAGGTGGTACCGACAGCTCGGATTCAAAGATGATGGCATCGACACGCGTAAGACGAGGTCCATGTGCCTTGCCTGACATTCGTGCAGGCAGTTTGAAAGGAGTTGAGGCTTTGTGCGTTTCTATGCATATGTGTATGTGCAGATGCGTGCATGGCTGGCTGGCTGGCTGGATGATGATGGATGCATGGATGGATGGATGGATGGATGGATGGATGGATGGATGGATGGATGGATGGATGGATGGATGGATGGATGGATGGATGGATGGATGGATGGATGGATGGATGGATGGAGATGTGTATGTGTGT